TTCTTTGGCGAATTCTTCATCGTACTCTTTGCTAGCCACAATAATGCGAATATTCTCTACATTGTCTCGTTCTCAAAACCAAAAGATTTCCTGTACCTGAAGGTCTTATCTTCCTTGTAATCTTTAACAACACCAAGACGGAACATTCAGATAAGTAGAACTTCTTTTCTCTAAGCTAAATCATATATCTGTCACTAAAGTACCTTTAAATTCATTTATTTATTATGATCATTATTATTAGGCTCATTTTATTACGCTCTGGCATTAAATACTTAGTAATTGCTTTAAATCATGTGGTCCTTTTCGTTTCGTTTTTGTTTTTTGGTTACCATCTCGTAGGGACGCTATCCTTATCAGTAGCCCTTATCAGTAGTGTAGTCTGTTAGCGCTACCCATTGGGGCCCCCTTGAGGAATTTCTTGAGAGGGAAAAATACGAACTTGGGCCTCAATGAATGTATAGATTTGTAGTTTTTGCTCCTTTAATCTATATTTCCTATGTAATTAAATTAAAAGCACATATTAATACAGTGTGTCTCAAATTGATAAAATAGTACACATATAATAAATTATGACCATTAACTTAATAAATAAATAAAATGCTTATTTTTTAAAAAAATTACCGTATTTATGCGAATCTAATGCGCCATCGAATCTAATGCGCATCCCCATTTTAAAACTTTAAATAATAAAAAAATTGTTTGTCGGCGAATGTAATGCGCATCAATAGTATGAGGAATTTATTGAATCTTATTTTATACAACAATGGATTTGTATATAAACTATCAATCAATGGTATGATAATTTTATTTAAATTTAGATACCATATTTTATACAACAATGGATTTATACAATAAAGTAACAGAACATAGAATTAACCTATTAGTGGGCTATTGTTATGTGAAACAATCATTGTTAATTACCACTACCGTATATACGGTACATATCGTAAAGTATGAACATGAAATAAATGGTAACATTTCTATCTAGCTAACAGTTTCTACAATCAGTGATTAATAGTAAACGTCTTTATTCACTATTTTGATGATAACTTTTTTAGTCCCCTTCTCCGTAATGGTGTAGTTACGAGGCATATCAAACCAAATTGGCGTCTCGTCAGCGTTGCCAATTTGCCCCATTTCGAAAAATTCTTTTTCCTTCCGAAGTGTGATGACATACCGCTGAAATGTAAGTAGTTTTCCCTCAAAATCTGCAGGAAGCTTTTGGCATAGTGTTGTACGGCGTCTTAGAAGATAAGCCCATCCGCTTCATAAACCGATCCAGCCATCCGACGGCTAGCCTTTAAACTCCTCGTTTCGGTATTCCAAGAACTTCAGCCTCCTCTTTTGCTTTATTTCTTATAGTGTCGCTAGTCACAGGTTGTCCATTCTTCCTCCTTTCATGTACAAATTCCAAAACTTTTTCTTCAATTTTAGGGTGTCTTCCTTTGCGAGGGACAGTGAATTTCTTTCTACTAGTTTTAGTTGCAAACAGTGCCAATTTCTGTTGCCGCCACAAGCGAACATTGCTCTCAGCTACGTTGAACTCTCTCCCAGCCTTTCTATTGCCATTTCTTTCAGGATAAAGAATTACTTTACGTTTGAAAGTAGCGTCATATGACATTCTTCTCTGCTTGCCCTCCATTTCGTGACTACGTACTCTGCAGTATGCAATAATGTGTCAACGATAAATGTAACGGTAAATGTAGTCGAGAAATACAGTAATCCATTGTTACGATTTAAATTCGGTTGACGTCATCGGCGAACTTTGCACTCGAATCTAATGCGCCATCGAATCTAATGCGCACCCCAATTTTGAGTACTACATTTGGGCAAAAACGATGCGCATTAGATTCGCGTAAATACGGTAATTAATATTAAATTAAAAAAATCTGTAATTTATTTACTTATTTATTTTTGCTGATGTGTTCTCGCCTTGTTTTAGATTTATGATTTTATCTGATGGTGTTTTTTGAGTATATGAATACGTTGGAAACCGCAATTGATGATGTTACTTAAGTTAATGTATAATTTTGCATAATATTATATGCATCTTGATCTTATGTGTCGTCTGTTACTGTGTCTCAAGGTAGAGGTTAACATATTGTTTCCCATGTTAAAAAATAAAAGTTTAATTTAAAATTTTTAAATTTTAGTTTCCCTGTTATAGCACAAGTTAGCTTCTAAACTAGACTGTTATGTGACTGGACCCTCAATATTTATATTTTATTATTAATTTTGCCCCATCTTCACATCTATTCAGCTTTACAAAACACATGCATTACACACACCTTGAAGACTCTATTTAATGTAAATGATAACAACTTCCTTTCACTACACTCATGGATACAATCGTGGTTTTTTTTTTTTTTTTTTTTTTTTTTTTTAACAAAATTCTCTTACTTCCTTTCCTTTTCTTTCTATAGGCCCTTTTTTTAAATTATAAATATAATTTTTTTTTTCCCTCTCCATTACTTTTGGGCCATTTATTTTTTACTTTATTTTGTCCCATATTTTCTTCCTGGCCTTTCGAACTCGTATAAAATATACGAAGTTCCTTTTTACTCTCCTCTGAAATACGAAATTGTCCCTCTTCCTATATACCTTTCTTTCGCACCTATGCTTGATTTTTCGCCCATCGGTACAGAAAGACTCAGCGGGTGCAACAAAAGACATCTGTCTACTTTGTCTGTCTGTCTGTCTTTTTCAAGTCGCTCATTTTATGACTCTCATTTACATCTTCTCCCAATTCATCAGCTAATATTATTAAATCGCATTTCTTTGCCTTACCGAAAATAGACATTTTCGTAATCATTAAAATGCAAATTATATATATATGCTATTATTATTAACTTCCAATTAGACAACTTAGTAGAACACAGTTATTGGTATTTTATAAGTTGTTGTTTGACGTTCAAATATTTTTCAAAATTTAAAGAAATTAAAAGAAAATAAACTCTCTTTCCAAAATGATAAAAAAAATAACAAAATTAACTTCTATAATAAATATGTTACATCAATTAATGCAGATACCTTGAAACTCAAATTCTTTTCAATTTATTTACGTATAGCAAATTCTAGTAGCTTTAGGCAAAGGTTTCAGAATAATCCCACTTCTGATTTTAACTTCGTTTTGTAGTTAAATTAATTACTCATAAAATGGTTGTAAAAGACAAACATTTTATTTAAAGATAAATCTTAATAACCTACACGTAACGTTTTCGTAAACGTACATAACATAACATTATATTAATTATTTAATCATGCATGTTTCTTGGGTCATCTGAGATTCTATTATTCTTGATGGGGAAATTTGAGCAAAGAATATGTATTGTAGACGTTCTTTGATTTGAGTTTCAAACTCGTTTTGCCGATCAAATTAGGTTCGCAAACTAAGGCGTTCGAGAAAACGTCGCTTTGGCTAACTGCTAAGCTTCGCGCTTCGCTTGGCAATTTTTTTAACCGCAATACAACCGTGTGCTGAGGAAAACGTGATTTTTTTTTCCTGGAGGGCGCTTTGATCACGTACGATGGAGGCAGGATCTTAGAAGAGCTCCTAAATTTTCAAAGTTGTTTTTTTTTTTTCAGAAGAAGGTAATTTATTTAGGAAAAATTTTCGCGAATATTCTCTACATTGTCTCGTTCTCAAAACCGACACTTCTCCGGTATTTAAAGGCCTTATCTTCCTTGCAATCTTTTACAACACCAAGACGGAACATTCAGATAAGTAGAACTTCTTTTCTCTAAGCTAAATCAAATATCTGTCACTAAAGTACCTTTAAATTCATTTATTTATTATGATCATTATTATTATGCTTATTTTATTATGTTCTGGCATTAAATACTTAATAATTGCTTTAAATCATGGGGCTCCTTTTTTTCTTTCTGTTTTTTGGTTGCCATCTCGTAGGGACGCTATCCTTATCAGTAGCCCTTATCAGTAGTGTAGTCTTTTAGCGCTACCCATTGCGGCCACCTAGAGGAATTTCTCGAGAGGCAAAAAACAGGATCTTGGGCCTCATTGAATGTATAGATTTGCAGTTTTTGCTCCTTTAATCTATATTCCCTATCTATTTAAATTAAAAGCATATATTAATACAGTGTGCCTCAAATTGATAAAATAGTACACATATAATAAATTATAACCATTAACTTAATAAATAAATAAAATGCTTATTTTTTTTAATTAATTAATATTAAAATAAAAAGAAACTCTGTAATTTATTTACTTATTTATTTTTGCTGATGTGTTCTCGCCTTGTTTTAGATTTATGATTTTATCTGATGGTGTTTTCTGAGTATATGAATACGTTGGAAACCGCAATTGATGATGTTACTTAAGTTAATGTATAATTTTGCATGATATTATATGCATTTTGATCTTATGTGTCTTCTGTTACTGTGTCTCAAGGTAGAGGTTAACATATTGTTTCCCATGTTAAAACATAAAAGTTTAATTTAAAATTTTTAAATTTTAGTTTCCCTGTTATAGCACAAGTTAGCTTCTAAACTAGACGGTTATGTGACTGGACCCTCAATATTTATATTTTATTATTAATTTTTCCCCATCTTCACATCTATTCAGCTTTACAAAACACATGCATTACACACACCTTGAAGACTCTATTTATTGTAAATGATAACAACTTCCTTTCACTACACTCATGGATACAATCGTGGTTTTTTTTTTTTTTTTTTTAACAAAATTCTCTTACTTCCTTTCCTTTTCTTTCTATAGGCCCTTTTTTTTTTTAAATTATAAATATAATTTTTTTTTCTCTCCATTACTTTTGGGCCATTTATTTTTTACTTTATTTTGTCCCATATTTTCTTCCTGGCCTTTCGAACTCGTATAAAATATACGAAGTTCCTTTTTACTCTCCTCTGAAATACGAAATTGCCCCCTTTTCTATATACCTTTCTTTCGCACCTATGCTTGATTTTTCGCCCATCGGTGCCGAAAGACTTAGCGGGTGCAACAAAAGACATTTGTCTACTTTGTCTGTCTGTCTGATTTTTTTTTTCTTTACTTGCTACCCGAACATTTCAAAATTTAAATATAATCCTTTGATATGACCATACATCAAATATCTTGCAAAAGTCTAATATCTGAAATATCGTAGTATTATCTCGTATTTAAATTTCAGTTTTTACATATACGTTGATGGATATGAATTAAGTAACACATTTGAAACTTACTATGTATGTAAAGGTTAACTATGTAATTTTATTTTCTAATAATGCATTCATGAATGAGGTTTAAAACTTATTGAATTTGGTTAAATTTAATAATAAATGTAATCTCTCTTGGTATACTTAATTTACTTTGTGTAGTGGTATTGATTTTGCTGCTTATAATAAAATTAAAACCAAAAGTTATGGAAATTTTAGGACTTATTTATAGGATGCGTTTTTAAATAAAAGCATATTTAAAAGTTTTCGAAACATAATTATAGAAACTATATCCACGAACAGATTTACTGAAAACGGTAATTTTATTCTAGCATAAAACCGCAGAGCTATAACGTATGTGTAAATAACTACTTACTATATAATCTCTGTCATGGGATAGAGAACAAAGACAGTTAAACAGAGAAATTAAAATATAATGGATAAGGAATCAATAAATAATATTTATTACTTCCAACATAAATTTGTTTCATTAAGAAAAGTACTTTCAGTTAAAAAAAAGTGGGAAACCTATCCTGTCTGAATCCTTGTCTCAATTTTCCTTCTATTAAAAATATGATTTTTTGAGATTTAAATAGTTTTCACAGTCCTTATTGTGGTGCATCACTTCTTGTTAATTTATGTCTTTTCCATCTCTATTCTTTTTAGATCCAGTCGGAAAACTAAGAAGAATAAACTAAAAGAAATAATGCATTGCTGAGAATCACGCAGAAGCATTACTGCATTGCATATTATAGTCCAAAGAGAAGGTAATAGTATAATGAATATGAACTTAGATCTTTTTCCAAATAATCCATGCAGAAAATTCTTAGCTGAAAATATGGTTTACTAACAATGTAGTAAAATGACAGTGTGCATAGTAATAACTTTTAGGAAAACATTGTTCTCAGTTGCTATAAGAAGCTCTGCATCTACCAAGAATGTTTAGTTATTGATGATTGTTCTTGCTTCAAGATTTTCTTTCTTGTGCATGTCTTTCTCTGTATTGTAGGTTCTGAATTCCTTTTTATGGATTGCAACCTTGCATCTTATCATTCTGCAGCTATTGCTAAGCTGATATAAAGTGAAGATATATGCCATATGGTTTGACCTGCGTGATCTTCTTAATCTAATTAAACACGTTTGAAACATTCTTAAAAGATTCCTGACACCCATTAGCAATGAATTTTGCAGCTATAATCGGCTGTGCAACGTAAATGAGCCATAATGCTTCAAGAGCTTCTCGACGCGTTTGCATTGAACATAAATTGTGCAGAATCTGCATTACAATCCAGGGATGATGCTATCCCCCGTATTAAAGACTGCACTTTCTGTTGCCTATTAATTGATGTTTGTATTTTGCTGTACCCAGAACAGATGCCTTTTGTATCAGTTGCATTTCTTTCTTGGTCAGTGTATTTCACGGTCTTATACCTGATGATTGCTCTGAACTAGTTTAGAAAGCTTATTATGTGTGAAATCTATCCCATTTTTAATTTGTGCATACAAGTATAATTCGTTGCTGTTACAAGATAGGCTGTACTCACAGAGTTGATCCTTGCGATCGGCAAGGTGGTGCACAGCACATCACCTAAACTTAAGAGCATCCAATTTTAATTTGCAAGTGGGCGGCTGACAATCTAGAACTGGCACTGAGTATTCAGCAATCTATTTATCCACTGGTTTGTTATACGATTGTGAAGTAAGCTGTTTTTCTGTGAAACTGACGTATAGTTAAATAGATAATTTTCCACATGCACATAGCACTATCTGGGAACTGTGTGTATAAAGAATAATTGAATAGACACACATACACATTTTATTACATTAGTACTGCCAAAATGCACAACAGGTGTATTATGTAAAAGTACCATTATATGCTTACAGTAACCAAAAAATTGGTCAAATGTTAATAGTTAAAAATCATCTACACATGTATGCTCAAAGAATTTTCTTATGCATCCTAATGATGATATATTTCTATGTAAATATATTTGTGTACATTAGATTAATTCTGTTAAATGGAGAGGCTTAATTGACTTTAATTTTATAATAAAATTAAACAGTCTATAAATGAAATATTTATTAAAAAGTATTTTCTTAGAATGTATTTTTGTTCATTTTTAAATGTTTTTGTAAAATTATCCATGCTTTTTTTATTTTGCAGTTTATTTCCTTTTAATTAAGTATACTGATCTTTTGAAAACAAATTAATTTAAATAAAACTGATGTAGTTAAATATGCAATCAGGGAATTTGTAAAGTTTATGCATATTCATTTATGATTATTTTTATGTTTTACTCCTTCACCAGACATTATTAGGAAAAACTTAAAATTATTGATCATTCACTATATTTCATAGAAATATATAAAATTGTTTTGTAATTTATTATAGTTTGCCTGTTGTTTCCTGAAGATCTAAAACCATGGAATCGAGATTTCTGCAGTTTATATTAATACGATCAAAGAATGTTTGCCAATTTTCACCTACATTCAGGCTTTCTTGTGGTTGCTGGAATGTTTTAAGATCCTATTCTACTCAAAATGTACAAGCTGAAGAGCTAGTACCAAAAGAAAAAATTAGTCTAATAAAACCATCCATTAAAAAAGTGAAAAGACCTCCTTTTGTAAAGAACATGTTCTTTGGAAATTTTGATACTGTAAGTATTTCTCATTTGTCATTCGCAGTCATTTAAGTTCCATATAGATACTGATTTATCATTCTGTAATAATATAGTTACACTGCACAAAAAAAAGGGGGATAAGACAGTTCTATATCTCCTGTTGTACTGGGCAGATTGACGAAATTCAAATTGTGTTTTTCATGTCTCAAAAGTGAAACTTAAGATACATATTAGTTTTATATGTAGCATTATTCTAACATAGGTATTTTGGCACAAAATTGGACTTTTTCTGATATAACATATCAGCTTTTTTCCATATTTCTAATCTATGACTCAAATTATGCCTAGATATTAAATTTTGTAATTTTTGGTAAGAAATTAAAAAATTTATCTTGGCACATTTTTTTCAATTTGCACCAAGAATAACTGACTTGGTGGAATTCTTAATTTATAGTAACCTACTTACTTTCCTTTTTCTTTCATTCATGCACAAAAGGAAAAAAGGTCCATCATTGATTCTTTCAAAGAATTTTAACAAAATGCATAAACCACATTTTGGTTATTATCGCTTATATTAGATACACCAAATTTCAAAACGCGCCAAAATGTAAATTCACATATATCTTAAGAAATTTTGAATAAAAAGCTCTTATTTTTTGCAGATATGCTTAGAAATACATCTTCTAAGATAATGGCAAACATTTTATAGGTTATAATAAAAAAAATTTGAAATTTTTGTTTAAGAATATTTAAAAATACAAATTTTAAAAATAAATAATAAAAAATTTGCGAATTATATTTGGATTAAGCCTAAATTTCGAATTCTGGAAGAAGGAATCAAGTAAGTTTAGTAACAAAAAGAGATATCAATAAATATATATCAAATTCAATTAACTTTAAGAAGCTAAAATTTTGAGAGCTAATTTTTAAAAAAGTACTCGTGTGATTTTTACAAAACTTGGCAGTTTGGCATAATTTGAGTCTAGGATCAAAATATGGAAAAACATTGGCATGTCATTTCAGAAAAGGTCGGATTTTGTGTCAAAATACCTATATTTAAACAATGCTATGTATACTAATACATATCCCAAGTAGTGCCTTCGAGACATCAGAAACGCAAATTGAATTTCGTCAATCGGCCCAGGAGATATAGAACTGTTTTTTTTCCCCCCTGCGCAGTGTACATATGCATGTATTTGCTAATGTTGCTGTATTTAAATATTAAAAAAAATGACATATTTTGTATTTTTTCTAATTTGGGTCTATGATCTAGCATTTTTATTTTCAGATTTCTGTTTTATTTTATATTTGTATTATATATTTATCATAAAATTCAGTTTTGAAATTTTTTAGCTGCAATGAATGTTATTTAGGAATTTAGATTAATTAATAAAAAAGCTGAAAAATTAAATTCTTCCTTATTATCATTTAGCTATCATAACTTCCTTACCAATTCCTAGTTTAAAACTGCTAATAATTTATAGATAAATCAAAAACTGTATTCTTAGCAGAAAATGGATTGACTGCTTAGAGTTTTGTGTATGCTTATATACAAAGGTTGGGTTAAAAGTAGTGGCGGCAGGCTGAGCTCCACAGGCTGAGTTCTACAGGCAGGCTGAGCAGCTGGTGAACCTGGTGGCCTCCAGGGGCCCCATGAGAACACAATCACCTGGAAATATAAACTTTTTCTAGTCAAAAAACAAATACTGTCAAAAGTCGTTAATCCGGACTCGTCGGGACTTCAGCGATTCCGGATTATAGATCATCAGTTTAAATCTGGTAAGATGGCATGCAGAAATTATAAAATTAAAAATATGAAACCGTAATTTATGAAATGAAGAACAATTATGATCTAAAGGGTATCAAAATTTACAAAAAGAAAAAGCTTAATATGTATATGTTTACTTTATTAAACATTTCTTTCAATGTAAGTTAAGTTGCTTTCTTTCATGTGATAATACTTTCTCTTTAATTCTATTAAACAGACATAATTTCTTGTTTAGTTACAAAGTTCCGCTGTTCAAGTCCTATAATTGCTGTGTCGAGAATACCGACTAATTTGTCAATCGTAATTTTTTCGTTTTCAATAAACTCTGTCACTTTCTTCACTATCAGAAGTGAATTATAATGACGAGGAACTTGATTTAAATCATATCAAAGACGGTGTACATCGAGATGAAATAATACGTTTAGTAAGGAATTATAAGCCAAATAAAATAAAAACATCTGCCCTGAAGATAATGATAGTGCTGACAGATCAACTTCGAATTCATTGCGCGCCGTGTTGTTTCCCTCCCCCCCGCAGAGCAACGTGAAATTGATAAAAATTTCGGAATGATTAGAGAATCAAAGGATATGCCTTTATCCATTTTTTGCCAGCAATTCCACTTTCTGTTTAATGAACTTCGAAACATACTTTCGCTTTGTAGATCCTTCATATTAGTAAATATATATAGGAATTCATTGCCCTAATCGAAGTTCAGCACTTATAAATTCTCTAAAGTCTCAAAATAATAAGCCGGATCCATTCGAATAACCCTCTGGGCGGCCAGGGTTTTTCGCTAAGAAAGCACAAATTTTCTAAAAACTTCTATGAGAACAAATTATTTTGATTTTAATCAAAACTCTCCTGGTTTTCATACGGATTGTTTTCTTTTGATCATTGCCTTAATTTCGTTGACATATTTTAATATGCACGTAGATATCGTTCTTACAGATATCCAAAAAATATCCTAGGCGTACATATACATTACTGAATTAGATAATTTTATTAGCTTATACCGTCCGTTTACATTAAACGACATGCGTAAACGTGTTATGCGCAAGCGCACACACATATTCGCAGCTGTAAAGGTCTTACGCGCACGCGTAATCGCCTATGCGTCTATCAACGCATGCGCAGAAAGTTTGTAGCTTTGATGTCCGAATTAACGACTTTTGACTGTATAAGAAAATATTGCACAGGAACTCTGCAAATATGTGAACAGCACATATGATATACATTGCGAAAAAAAATGTTGCTGTTCTATATCTCCTGTTCTACTGGCCTGATTGACGAAATTCAACTTGCGTTTTTCATGTCTCGAAAGCGCAACTTAGAATATGTATTTGATTTTTATACAGCATTGTTCTAATATAGGTATTTTGACACTAAATCGGACTTTTTCCGGAATAACATGCCAATTTTTTTCCATATTTCAATTCTACCACTCAAATTATGCCAAACTGCCGAGTTTTGTAAAAATTACATGAGTAGATTTTAAAAAAATTAGCTCTCAAAATTTTAGCTGCTCAATGTTAATTGAATTTGGTATATATTTATTAATATCTCGTTTTAATTAAACTTTTTTTATTCCTTCTTTCACAGATTGAAATTTACGTTCGTTCCAAAAAAAATCCGCCTATTTTTTATGATTTATTTTTAAATAAGTTTTATAAATTTTTTAAAAAATATTTTAAATTATAACCTATAAATTTTTGCCATCATCTTAAAGTAGATGTATTTCTAAGCATATGTGCAAAAAATTAGTATTTTTTATTTAAAATTTCCTAAGATATACGTGAATTTACATTTGGGCACGTTTTGAAATTTGGTGGATTTATTATAAGTGATAATAACGAAAATGTGGTTTACACAGGTTGTTAAAATTATTTTAAAGTATGAACAGTGGCTTTTTTCCACTCGTGGGCAATGAAGAAAACAGAAAGAAAAGTAGGTTGCTATAAATTAAGAAATTTGTTAAGTGGCGCAAACTGAAATTATTCTTAAGCAAGTTATTCTTTGTGCAAACGGAAAAAAATTCGCCAAGATACATTTTTTAATTTCTCACCAAAATTTACAAAATTTAATATGTACGCATAATTTGAGTCATAGAATCGAAATATGGAAAAAAATTGGTACATTATTTAAAAAAACGTCCAATTTTGTGTCAAAATACCTATGTTAGAGTAACGCTATATATAAATCTAATATATATCCCAAGTCGTGCTTTTGAGACATGTAAAACGCAATTTGAATTTCGTCAGGCCGCTCAGCAGGACGGGAGATATAGAACAGTCTTTTTTGCACAGTAAACATTAATATACCCATTTTTATCCTTCAGTATAATGTATCAGAATAACTTCTTATCTCCAAGTTACCACTGACTTCTAGAGTAAACATTCTCTGTAAACTCAAAATCACAATGCGTAAAACATTGCTAAAATCCTCATTCAGTACAGTCAAAGTCTTGACAGAGTCTCTTTAATAACCACAGGTCACAAATACTCATTCTACACCTGATATTTCACATGCTGATCAATTGACATTATTTATAAGGTACGTATGTCGAGTGCTGATGTAAAAGAAAGTTTTTTATAGTTTGTACCGATTAAAGATCATATGGCATCATATTTGGAAAAACAGTATTGACTGCATTAGCAAAATTACGTATAGACAGTAAACTTTGTCGTGGACAAACGTATGAAAATGAAGCAAAATGAGGGAAATACTCAGGATTTTACAGGCCCGTATTAATTATTGCAGTCCAAGTGCATTATGCTTCCCTTGCGCTAATCATTCTTAGAATTTAGTAGGTAGTTTTGCTGCAGAAAGTTGTAGTGCCACTGCTTACTACTTTATGTTTGTGTAAAAGTTAATGTTTTTTTTCCTGCATCTCCTCATTGCTGGCAGATTTTGAATAGAAAGTTTGTAATGCTCTCATTCTTTCCACATCTATAAACCGTGTGAGCTCTTCACATACCCACTTTTTACATATATTTTTGACCTTGAAAAATGGAACTACACACTCATTGCGAAGTAACAAAAATACATTTACATTTTTCAACACAATATATGAATTTTTCAGAGTCACATAAAACATCTCTACTTTTTTAGCATGGTATCAGCATTTCTGTTTTTACAACGCAAGAAAAAGCCTCGAGTATCTCGACTGCACTTCACTTCAAAAACATTCTCCCATCATCACCATGTGCATATCACACTCTCTCGTCCACGCTTCTTCTCCCCTTGGTTGCCAGATACCCCTTTCTTTTCT